CCCCGTCCCTCGCAGGGCCCGGCCGGGCGGGCGGCCCCGGTGTCTGGCCGAGCTCTATTTACAGTATTCACATACATTGTACCCAGCAAGTTAAATAACTACATTATTACACCACACGTCTTGGGGCGGCTCTGGCAGGCTGCTAGGGTGGGAGTGTCAGTCTGATAAGGTGCATATTTAAAAAAAAAAACAAAAAACCAAAATGAAATAAAAACAAGAACGAAGAGAGAAACCAGGTGTCCCCGCAGGGGGCTGGCGGCCGCCTCGCCGGGGTCCCAACAGCGCCCGGGCCCCCCGTGGGCGGGCAGGGGGGAGCAGTGAGGTTTTTCTTCCGACAACAGCTACGGTTTTGCGCGGGTGTCCGGAGTCGGGACGTGTGCGGGGGCCCCACGGGGACGTCTGCCGGGGCCTGGCCCTCACAGCACCTCTGTGGGCAGAGGAAGGGTGCAGCGGTGAGATTAGGGCAGCCACGGCATCGCCCCGGCCCCCCACACACCCCCCCGTCTCTCACCTGTCACCTGGGGGGGCTTGACCACGGCCTGCTTGAGGAAAGGCTCCTTGTCACCGAAGGGGATGATGCTGCCGGGGCTGGTGCCGTGGTGGGAGAGCTCCAGCAGCTCCTGCGACCCCTCCGTGCCCGAGAAGCCGTTCTCGTGCTTGCTGGGCTGCACGCCGTTCACCAGCGACGCCGGGGACACCACCTCTTTGGCCGGGGAGCTGTGGGGCAGGAGGGCTGGGGGTCAGCCAGGGTCCTGCCGCCCTCCGGCCCCCCCGGCCGCTCCCACGCTCACCTTGGCTGCAGCCCCTCGCCTGCCAGGCCCTTCGGCCCCCCCGGAGTCCCCATGCTCGGCGTCTCCGTCTCAGGGAGTTCCTCCTCCTTCGGCATCGGCCCCGCACGCTTCTCGCGGCCTGGGGATGTCGGCAGAGCCCCCCTCAGCCATGGCCCCGGGCAGGAGCACGGCTGGGCAGCAGGATGGGGAAGGAGCCACATACCTGGGACATCCTCCTGCTCGGCCGCTTTCCCATTCACCACCTTCTTGTCCTCCTTCTTCTGCAGGGAGAGGAGAGCTGTGAGGGGCAGTGGCAGCTCCGGGCAGGGCTGGGAGGGCTCTGCAGGGTCCCCCATGTCCCCAGGCAGGGGGGCACAGGGGACAGGCACCCACCTTGGCATCTGCCGTGTCCGACTTGCGTGTCCTCTTCATGATCTCCTCCAGGCGCTGTGGGGCAGAGAGAGGGTCGTGCACAGCCCTCGCCAGCAGGGCCTGCCCTGGGTGCTGGGCAGGACCCCTTGCAGGGACCCCCCACACTGTGCCACGCACCCAGGGGTGCCCCCAGCCCTCACCTTCTTCCTCTCCAGCCGCTCCTGCTCCTCACGCTGGAAATGCTTCTCCCGCTCCAGGCGCTGCCGCTCAGCCTCTTCGCGTGCCCTGGCCTCGGCCTCTTCCCTCTGCAGCACAGTGGGGCGGCAGGGATGGATGAGACAGGGCAGGGACAGTGGGGACAGGCTGCCCGGGTGGCTCAGCACAGCCCTGCCCCACGTCCCCTCCCACCACCCTGGGCATCGAGGGGCTGGGCTGGTCCTACCCCTGCATCCCGCTGGGGTGGGGACCACAGGAGAGCATCCCTGCCTCTCCCCTCCATCCCTGCCTTCGTCCCCCATCCCCCCTCTTCCTCCACCCCGCCTCCCCCGCAGCCCCTTGCCCCCACACACCAACACCCCAGACCTGTCTCTGCAGCCGCTCCGTCTCCTCCCGCTCGGCCCGTGCCTTCTCCTGGGCCTCGCGCTCCTCCTGCAGCCGCCGTTCCTCCTCCTGCCGCCGCGCCATGGCCTCCCTGCGGGTCTGCTCCTCCGCCGCCTGCTGCGCCCGCTCCTCCTGCAGCCGCCTGCGGGGAGGGGACCCTCAGCAAAGTGGGGGGCTGGGGCCGGGGCCCAGGGGGGGGGCAGCACCCACCTCTCCCGCTCCTCCTGCTCCCGGCGCTCCCGCTCCTCGCGCTCCCGCTGCTCGCGGGCCTGGCGCCGCTTCTCTGACAGCAGCCGGGCAGCCTCCTCCCGGTCTGTGGTGCCAGCTGGAGGTCTGCCTGGGGGGGTGGATGGTGCGGGGCCAGGGGCTGCAGAGGCCACAGGGGCTGTGGGGGCTGTGGGGTGCACGTAGTGTCAGTGCTGCTCCCACTCCCTCCAGCCCCACCGCTCCCCCCAGTCACCCCATACCCACCTGCTGTTGGCTCTGTGGGCACCTTGGGGGGCTCGGGGAGGGTCTGGGGGGCCGGGCCCCGCTCCTCCTCCTTCTTCTCGCGTGCCTTTGCCTGGCCCTCCTGCTCCCCCCGCTCCTCCCGGGCCCTGGCCCGCACCTTGGGAGAGGAGTGGGTGCTGCGGGGCAGGGGCGGCTTGTGGGGGGAGCCATGGGCCGGGCTGGGCGACGCCGGACGGGCTTTGGGGGTGGCAGGGGATGAGGGACGGTTCTTGGGGCCGGGGCTGCAACCGCCGTTCCTCCTCCTGCCGCCGCGCCATGGCCTCCCTGCGGGTCTGCTCCTCCGCCGCCTGCTGCGCCCGCTCCTCCTGCAGCCGCCTGCGGGGAGGGGACCCTCAGCAAAGTGGGGGGCTGGGGCCGGGGCCCAGGGGGGGGGCAGCACCCACCTCTCCCGCTCCTCCTGCTCCCGGCGCTCCCGCTCCTCGCGCTCCCGCTGCTCGCGGGCCTGGCGCCGCTTCTCTGACAGCAGCCGGGCAGCCTCCTCCCGGTCTGTGGTGCCAGCTGGAGGTCTGCCTGGGGGGGTGGATGGTGCGGGGCCAGGGGCTGCAGGGACCACAGGGGCTGTGGGGGCTGTGGGGTGCACGTAGTGTCAGTGCTGCTCCCACTCCCTCCAGCCCCACCGCTCCCCCCAGTCACCCCATACCCACCTGCTGTTGGCTCTGTGGGCACCTTGGGGGGCTCGGGGAGGGTCTGGGGGGCCGGGCCCCGCTCCTCCTCCTTCTTCTCGCGTGCCTTTGCCTGGCCCTCCTGCTCCCCCCGCTCCTCCCGGGCCCTGGCCCGCACCTTGGGAGAGGAGTGGGTGCTGCGGGGCAGGGGCGGCTTGTGGGGGGAGCCGTGGGCCGGGCTGGGGGACGCCGGACGGGCTTTGGGGGTGGCAGGGGATGAGGGACGGTTCTTGGGGCCGGGGCTGCAAATGGAGCAAGAGATGGCATTAGAGGGGCTGGGGCAGCCCCCGTGGTGGTGGGGCAGGGGCCAGGGACCCCCCCCCATGGCGGCGAGTCCCTACCTGCTGTCGGCTGCGGGCAGGAGCCGGGGCTGTGCCGCCGGCAGCGACTGCCGCTTCTTGAGGCTGCGCTCGCGGGACAGGGCACTGCGCTCCTTGGCGTTCTCCCGCTCCTTCTCCTTCTTCTCCTTCTTCTTCTGCTCCAGCCAGGGAGAGACAGAGACAGAGATGGAGACAGACAGCATCAGTGCCGGGTGCTCGGCTCGGCCAGGAGCCACGCTGTGCCCCACAGCCACACTGTCACTGAGGGGTCCCCATGGGAGATGGCACTCACAGGTGAGGACTCGGTCCTGCGGCGCGGTGTCACATCGGGGCTGCTGGTGGTCCCCTTCCGCCTGTCCCAGCAGCGGTGCTGCAGGCGGTGGTTGTGGCAGGGGCTGAGGGGGCTGGCGGAGGCAGAGCGGGGGCACACGGGCACTGGGGGTAGGAGGGACCATACCGTCAGGACAGAGCTGGCATGACACCGGCACCAGCTCTACGCTGGCTTTGGGCTCTACGCTGGCTTCAGGCTCCCTCATCCCGGTCCCCTGCCTGTGCCAGGGCCCGTGTGGCCCCGTGCCCCGCCCCGGGTGCTCACCCTGCTCCTTGCCATTCCCAGCCAGCGTCACGGCGCTCCGGCTGCGTGCCAGGAAGGACAGGGTGGGCGTCATCAGCCGGTCCACGATGCTGCTCTCCCAGGGGCTCAGCTGCAAGCTCCGGTCTGAGGAGGGAGAGGGGCCCTTTAGCACTCCCCCAAGCCCCCAGGCACCAGCCCCAGCCCCCCAGCCCTACAGCCGCCTGCCAGGGGGAGCAGCCGTGGGGTTGTGGCGAGGCTGGGGCACGTGTGCTGCCCCGGGAGTGCCCGGAGCTCAGCCGCGATGGGGAGGGCTCCCCAGTGCCCTCACGGCCAGACAACAGGTTGTGTGGGTGCAGGGACGGGCAGGCAGCCTGGCACCCATGGGATGGCACTGCGGCACGATGACAACGCTGTCCATGTGCCTGGTGGGCACCTCAGCTGCAGTGCACCCACAGCCAACAGCACCCACTGGGGTGCAGTCCTGATGGCAGCAGCCCCTTCCATCCCAGCCTCCTCCTCATGTCCAGTGCCACCATTCACCCTCCCCGTGCCCCTGTCCCGGTGTGGCCACCGCAACGTGCCCTCACCCCGAGGGAGCTGTGCCAAAGTCACCAGGCTTGTGCAAGAGCCAGGCCAGGCTCATGGCACCCCAAGAACCTCAGTCCCCAGCCACGCTGCCGGCTCAGCTGGGCACGGTGATGCCACTGGCTGCCCTCCCTGCACGTCGCTGGCACCGAACACCCCATGGGCACATGGGAAGCACCCGCAGAGACAGAGCCCCTCAGCCCCTCTCCACCAGGTCGGGCTGAGAGCAGCCCACTCTGCCAGGAGGGGATAAAACAGAGCCATGGGAGCAGCGGGGGAGACGGGTGCTGGGTCCAGCACCAGCCCAGGGAGATGCTGCTCCCACCCGGGCAGTGCCCAGAGCCCCTGGGTGCCTCTTCCCAGGCTGAGCCCCCAGTGCAGGGCTGGCAGGAGCCTCCTGCGTCATCATGGCCTGCAGCCGCCCGCGTCAGCTGCTCCGGCTATTTATACCCGGCCGGGAAAGGCGCGCACCCATCGCCAGGCAACCCCGAAACACAACAGCAGCCCCGGCGCTGGACGCATCCCTCCCTCCAGCACGGCCAGCAGCCTCAGGGCCAGGACGACCTCGCAGCACCCGACGCAGCCCCGTGCCCGCAGCACCCTGTGGCACCCAGCCCCGGGTGCCCGTGGGGATAGGCATCATGGCAGCGGGCACCGGCACCGTGCCCAGCCCCGAGGAGGGTCTGCTGACAGGCTGTACCCACTCCACGGCTGCATCTGCACCCACCGGAGCTGAGCTGGGGCAGGGAACCAGAGCTCCCTGCCCCAGTCGTGGCGTCCCATGGGGCTGCCACCACCCAGCTGCTCCTCCTCCTCCTCCTCCTCCTCCTGGCCCACACGCAGCCTCACGGAGCCGCCGGCCGGCTCCAGCCTCCTCCCGCAAACAGCAAACGGCTTCTCCTCTCTCCGCGGGCACCATGCTGCAAGGCAGGGCCTGGGGACGGGGGACCCTGGCCTCGGGGGTCCCCAGCGCTGGGCGGGGGCCGGGCTGTGCCCCCTGCGCTGGGGCAAATGCAAAGGGCTCTTACTTCTACTGGGAGAGTTCCAGAGGGTGGCGGAGGATTTGGAGAGCCGCTTGTTGATTATAGAGTCGACGTGTTTGGGGAGGTTTACAGCGGACACCGAGCACCGGCTCGCACCTGGAGGAGGGAAAAGACACAAGGACATTAAGGTCCCGGGGCTGGGGCCGGGCCCCCCCACATGCAGCATGCATGGCCGCGCCGGGGCACCGGGGCAGGAGAGGGGGGATGCGACACAGAGACTGGGACCGGGAGATGGTGGTGTCCGGGCACACGACACACGGCGCTGGCATCCGTCACGGCACGGTGCCCGAGCCCCAGGGGGTCATGCTGGGATCATGCAGGGATCTCATCCTCAGGGAGCCAGGGTGGCTCCCGGGCCCTCCCATGCTGGTCCCCCCCCAAAAAGCAGTCCTGGGAACCGGGAACGGGGTGGTCATGGACCTTGGCAGCACCAGGCAAGCAGCCAGCCTGGGGGAACAGGTCAGGGGCAGCAGGTCTGGACACAGGACAATGCTCACACCGGTGTCGGGTCCCTACAGCAGTGCCAGGAAGGTGCTGGTGGCTGGCAGCACCTCCACGGGGTGCCAGGACCCCTCTGTCCTGCCCAGGCTCCTCCAAAGAGAACGGCATGGGGACACTGCTGCCAGCAGAGGTGACAGCCAGGAGATAGGCGAGCGAGGCTACTGGCAGCAGTGCCAGCAGAGCAGCCCTTGTGGGAAGTTGCAGGGGAAGGAGTCCCCTTGCCAGACCCTGCACCGCAGGAACACGGCCCTGTCCCAAAATGTGCCACAAGCCACAGCCAGGCACATGGTGCCTGTATGCACAGAGTGTCCCTATACACACATGGTGCCACACAGCTGGGCACACAACACTGGTACGCACAACCCCAACAGGTACATGGTGCCAGTACCACAGCCCGGCACACAACACCTGTACACACAACCCCATGGTTGTGTGTACACAGCCGCCCCATGGCACAAGTGGGACAGATGTGCCCCAGGGGCACCATGCTCCCCTCTACGCCATCAGACACACCAGGCAGTGCCAGCGCCTGCTGGTGCAGCCCCATCCCCTTAGCGGTCAGGGGAGACCTCCACACACCCAGCCCCACTGCCAAACCCCATGGGGTGTCACCAAGGAGCCCCCAAGGAGAGGGGCCAGCTGGGCTCAGGTGGTGGGCACGGCTGAGCCTCCGGCCCCTGCTGCATGGGCACAGCACGGCGAGGCACACGTGGCCACGCACAACCAGGAGCACACCCAGCCACGGTCACCCCCACGTTGGGGCTGGAGGGGCCAAACGCTGTCCCCACCCAGCCGGGGGACAAGTGGACACGCCGCAGCACAGACTCCAACGAGAGATGGCAACAGCCTTGCCTGGCTCCACAACCCCTGCCCAGCTGCCAGAGACCTGGGTGCCATGGCCGTGGTGTCCCCATGGACAGCCAGAGCCGTCAACAAGCACGTCCCTGTGCAGAACGGTGACCGTGACACACAGCCCCCAGCTCACACCCGGCCTGAGGGACACGGTGCCACAGGAGTGGGGTAAATCCAAGGGATCCCCTCTGACCCCGGCACAGCCCGGGGTGATGGCAGCCCGACCCCACAGCAGTGCGGGGCCGAGCCGGGTTTGGGGGGTTTAACCCTCCCTGCACAGAGACACCGCAGAGCCGTGCCCAGCCGCCCCCGCTGCTGGCAGAGCCATGGGGCTCCAGGTGCCCCCCCCCAGCCCGGCACTCACCATCCTTGTGCGCGGGGGAGCCGTGGTGCAGGGCCCCAGCCCAGGACCACCGCTGCTGCCGGATCTCTGCCCACGTCTTCTTGGCCGACCGCTGGATCGCCGCCTCGTAGCGCTCCTGCCCCGGGGAGAGGGATGGGGTGAGCCCAGGGGAACGGAGCTGGGACCGGCGGGAGCTGCCCGGCACGAGGGCACCGCAGCGATGGGGATGGTTGGAAGGGGACAGGGCAGCGATGCCCACCCTGGCCGGGGCACAAGTGCCCAAGGAGCTGGGCACCACAGAGACTCTGCACCATGAAGGATGTGCACCGCAGAGGACGGGCACAGTGGGCAGCTCCCCAAGAGCTGCTGGAGCCACAGGGTCTCCCCAGGGATCACCTTCCTGCTGTGCCACCCCAGCAACCCCCCATTGCACCTGCGGTCCCCCATCCACACCTTGTTCTTCTCCAGCTTCTGCCTCTGCCGCTCCTCCAGGACGGCGCGGCGCTTCTCAGCCTTCAGCCGCTGCTCCTCCAGGCGCTTGCGGCGCTCCTCCAGCTGCTTCTCCCGCAGCAGCCGGGCCTTCTCCTCCTTCTCCAGCCACAGCACCCGCTTGGCAGCTGCCGGGGGGAACCGGGGCAGCGGGGTCACACCCGAGGCACAGCCCCGGTCCCGGCGAGCCCCGCGGTCGGGACGCATGCCCGTGCCGGCGGTGCGGGGCCGAGGGCCGGCTGCGGCCAGGGCACGCTGCTGGGCTCCCCGGGCGCGCGGGGCAGGCGGCATCGCGGCCGGCCGGCAAGGGAGGGGTTTGGGCGAGGACAAAAGGGAGGCCGGGAGCCCGCCGAGCCGTGCCGCGCCGGCGAACAATGGGGGAATGAGGGTGGAAAGAGCGCGGGGACGAGGAGGCCCCATGCGCGGCGCAGGGGCCCCGCTCGCCCTCCGCCCCGAGCCGCTGCGGGGCTGCCTGCAGCTGCCTGCTGCTGCCTGCTGCTGCCTGCCCACGGGAGAGAGCTGGGCACCGGGCTGCTGGTAGCCACACACAATGGGGGGGCATCCATACACCCAGGGGGCACCCAGATGGTGTGGGGTAGCTGGGAGAGCAGGGCAGTGGGCGCAGCGGTGTGCCGGGGGGGCAGCAGCATGCCGGGGGGGACAGAGCCGCTGGCACAGCAGCTACTGCCCAGGCTCAGCTCATCGCTGCTAATGGGATTGCCCGTGACCCGGCAAAGCTCCTTAGCTCCTGCCTCCCCCCCCGCCATCCACTTTCCCTCCCGGCGTGTGCCCAAGGGCGTCCGGGGTTTCACCAGCCCCACATCCCACCCTGTCCCCCCTCCCGTCCCCCTGCCCCATACCCAGGTACTTGGCCCGCTCCTCGCGCCGCTCCTTCGCCTGCTTGTGCCTCGCCTGGGCTTTCTGGGCATCTGCATTGGGGAGACATTGTCAGAGCAGCACCCGACCCCCCCAGCCCCACTCCTGTGCTGGCACCAGCTGGGCATGGAGGCATCGAGCAGCGCCCGCAGGGTGCCAGCATCCCCAGAGCCCCCCGGGCACCCACCTTGCTTGGGTCTGGGGCTGGTGGCCGGAGCTGGTGAGGCTGCAGCTGGGGCTGGGCGGTCACTGCGGGGCAGCACGTCCTTCGAGGGCCCGGCTGTGCCACCCAGGGGGCTTTTGGCATCGGAGGGGGCCCCTTCGCCAGCAGCAGGGGCTGGGGGGTCAATCCCGCGGGGCAGCGTCTCTGCCGGGCAAGGGGCAGCAGCAGCAGGGATGCCCTGGCCAGCGGCGTGGGGCGATGCCTCTTCTTTGGGGTGCTCCGTCACAGCTGGCCTGGGGGGCCCGGGAGGGGACCGGTCACACCAGGGGGGGACACTCTCTGCCGAGGGGGCCACGGCTGCAGGGATGGGGGAGACGGGCTGTCCTGGTGGCAATGTGGCTGGAGGGCCGGGTTGGTCCCGCTGTGGGGTGCTGCTCTCGGGGGGGGCCATCACAGCTGGGGGGCAGACGGGCTGCTTGGGGGGGGTGACGGCTGCAGGGACGGGTGAGAGGGTCTTTTCGGAGGGGGTGACAGCTGGAGGGACGGGCGAGACGGGCTGTCCGGAGGGGATGAGGGCTGGAGGGACAGGTCGGTCCCGCTGCGGGGGGGTGTGCTCTCCCTGCAGGGCATCCCCAGGCGAGGGGAGCGGCGAGGTGGGGGGGACAACGCTGTCTCCCATCAGGGACGGTGACTTCCCTGCAACACAAGCAGAGCAGAGCAAATGGTCACTCAGTGGGGGAGCCCAGGGCAGCCCCGTCCCCCCAAACGCAGCCCTCGGCATCAAGGCTGTCCCCGGCCGCAGGGGCTGGGGACAGTCCCCACATCCCCCAAGGGAAGGCAGCGGGACCCCCTGCTGCTGCCCCCGTCTCGGGGGGCGCCCATGCTGCCCCACGCTGGGTGCCAGGCACTGGGTGCACAATGCACAGAGGGACGGGCCGGGGCTCTGCCAGGCACTGCCGCCACAAAGCCACCCTTCTTCCCCCGACAGCTGCCGCCCCGGCCCCAACACGGGGGGACGCGGGGATGGAGACCCCCCATGCCGGCACGGGGACCCACACGCTTCCCCACCGCTCTCCCCGGAGGATGCAGGGTGGCTTCCGCCGGCGCTGGCGGCAGAGCCGGAGGCAGGATGGGCGCGGGCCCCGCGGCCTGACGTCACCGCTGCGGCCCATGTCCCCCAGCGCCGCGCCGTGCCCGTGCGCAGCCATGAACTCATGGCCCAGGAATGCACACGAGGCCACCACTGCCGGCAAACAGCCCCCTCCCCGCATAGGGCCTGGCCACTCGCTGCCCCGCCGTGGGGCAGGTGGGGGGCACGCTGCCTGCTCTGTGCCCCCCCAAGGGGAGCAGCCCTGAGAATCGCCCCCCCTGTCCTGGCCATCCCCAGGGGAGCTAGGGACCCCGGGGGCACCCTCTGCACGCCCCAGTACCGGGGATGGAGAGGTGATGCCAGCTGCCCTGCAAAGCCACAGCATGTCCCCTGGGCAAAAGCCAATGTGCCAGGACCACCCGTGGTGACCAGCAGCAGTGATTGCCCCCCCCGGCCCCCATTAACCAGCCCTTTGCCAATGCACCTTTGGGCACGTGCCGGGATCACAGCCCTGACCCCACGCAGCGGGCAGCGCTGTCACTCCTGCCCAGGAATGATGCCCAACCCACCTGGGGGCTGTGGGCACCCTGCTCCAGCACCGCTGGCACCGCCGCAGCGTGTGTCCCCAGCTCTGGCAGCGTGGCACGGCACGGGCACCACCACCCAGCTCCCACTGGCCCCGGTGAGCAGCTCTCGCCGCGGGTGATGTCACGCACGGCGCTCGGCCGTGTTTGCAGAGCTCTCCACAATCTTCAGCGAGGGGCAAAGTGTGGGCTCTGCAAACACGGGCCGGCGCCGCTCCTCCACCCCACACCAGAGCCGGCCCAGCCGGGGGGCAGCCCCAGGGAAGGTGCCACCAGCCCCCCCTGTGCCGTGGGCGTGGGTGCACCCTAGGTCTCATGGACCCCCAGCACCCACACCGGGGTGCAGCACCCACAGCAGCACCCGCCTGCCTGGGGAGGGTCTGGGGGTCCCGCTGCAGCCCCCCAGCGGGCCAGGGATCGTGCCAGCAGGGTCCACCCTCCCGGGCTCCACGGGGGACACCGCCAGCCCTGCCCCCCCCGCAGACCCATGCAGCTTTCCGGGTATTTTCTCCCGCAGGAAGCCGGCCCGTCCCCTGGCCCCGATCCTGCACATCCCGCATCCCCATCGCTGCACCCTGCAAGGCGGCCATCGTCTGATGTGTGGCCAGGATGGTGCCAGGGCTGCAGCCAGGGACGTCCCCCACCCCGTCCCCCCAAGGCTGGCCCAGGTCGGCACCCACAGGCAGAGGGGCTCGGTGGCCCCACAGGTGCCAGCCCTGAGGACAATACCCACGGTGGCATCGTGCATGTCCCAGCAGGGAGGGGTGACCCATGGGGATGGCTGCGCTGGCACAGCCGGGCGCTGCCTGCATGGCCACCAGCTGAGCAAAAGCTTCAAGGCCAGGCTGACACCTCCGAGCAGATGGAAAACCTCCTGCAGCCCCAGACACATGGGGAGCGATGCCGGGGGATGGCAGGTGCCTCTTTGCCACCCCGTGCCACCGGGCACGGAGCCCCAGGCACAGCCCTGGGCAGGGCCTATCCCACCCCCCCGGCCAGAGGAACAGCAGCACCCGTGGCCAGCACAGGGCTGCTGGGCATGGCCAAAACCCCCGTGCATGGCCAGGGCCAGCCCTGCCGCCATCTGTCCCTGTCGCTGCTCCAGAACAGCAGCTGCCCTGAAACCCAACGCTGCCTGCGCCCAGGCGGCGCGGGCGTCCCCTCTCCCCCAGCCGGGGCATTCCGCAGGGGATTAGCTCCCTGGCCCCCCAGACATGCAGGCACGGCTCCCCTGCAGCCCCCAGCCCGAGCGAGCCTGCGCCACCCTGGCCCCACTGCTGGCACCGGGACAGCGTGGTGCCCGGCCACTGGCCACGGCCACGGGGCGAGGTGCTGCTCCTCGACGCCGTGTCACCCAGCCCATCCCGGCTCCTCCGGTGGGTCCATGTGGCACCAGCGCCCGTGCCACCGAGCACCACCAGCACCTCCAGCCCGGCCCTGCCCGGTGCGGCGCTGCTCCCTGGCCAGCACATGGCTGGGGATGCTCAGCCAGGCAGAGGCAAATTCCCCGGTGCCGTGAAGCGAGAGCACATCGCGGCCCCGCGGGGCGCTCCGGTCGGAAGGCGAGCAGCCCTCGTTAACCGTCCACCGCGCATCCCCGCGGGGCACTTCCCACGAGGGCGGGGGGGGCACCCACCACGCTTTAACCTCAGCTCCCCCCGTCTGCCACAGCCTCACGTTCCTGCTCTGTGGCTCGGCCGGGACCCACCACGGGCTGCTCCGCGTGCCAGCCCCATCCAGGGCCGGGGGCATCGCACATGGCCCACCCCGGGAGAAGAGGAGAGGAGAGGAGAGGAGAGGAGAGAAAATAAGTAGCTGGAAAAGAACAATCAATAGCAGTATTAGACCAATCAATTAGATTATTATCAGGAGTAGAGTTACAAAATCGTAGAGGGTTAGATCTTGTGCACTTACAAACCAACTGAAGTCCTTTAAGTCTTAAGTCCATTAAGAATGTATTCACTAGTTATCACTAGTTCACTTAATTACCTCAAGTTACACTCCATCACTACCTTTTACCCCCTAATTTGCACATGTTCACAGTGGCTTATATTTTCTATTTAAGTTTTAGAAATAATATATTTTAGCAGGTTTAGTCACTGCACCTTAAGTTTTCTACTCTTTATATGCACCTTAATGCACTTTATATATGCACTTAAATGCACTTCACTTTACTTGCACTTAAGATTGTATTTTAGCTAATTTAGTTAGGCATAGGGAGGGGGGAAATGTGGTAGTTAGGGTATGG